ATTTTCTCTTTATGTAGCAGGATTACGCCCATACAAGCAGTGACTGTTCAGCGTCTCCTGTGATGCCTGTTGTACTATTTCATTGTCCACACGTGTGCATGCATATATCACACATCAATTAATGGTGTAATTTAAGTCTGTTTAGAGTCTACTCAAGTTTAAATGCCATGGGAGATAATTATGTAACCGTATTTGCTGATGTATCATGCACATACATACTACTTACATATTTAATGTCAATGTAATGATAATGTGATGGGTGAAGGCCATATAGCATTGATATTGGATTTGTGCATAGCTGCCTCATAATTTTAATAGCCAGCAGTGTGTTACCAATGATCAATACAGTTCCACAAAAACATTGAAAGATTATTCTATTATAATCTATCAGCAATAATGAAAAACGGGGGTCATGACCTTGTTTTTAAGAAAATCGCATTTTTAAATTAAGCATATAAGTAAAGTAAGGTCCCTTTCAAATATTGGAACATTGTCATCTTTTTTTTGAAACTCAGGGTAAGGTTTGTAGAATACAACATTTTCTACAAATATAAATATTAGGACATTTTTTAAATGGTATTCAAGTATAGTTAGCACCATACTAATATATCTGTGATAAAATGTTTTCTCTCGTGAAATCATTTCTGCATCCATTTCAATTGTAAAGACCAAGTATATTAGAAGCTTTCCTGAAAATATCAAGATTTATACTCGATACATATAAGAAAATAAATCTCCCAAAATGAAACATTTTTGAAATATAGAACTAGGAACCTCAAAATGGGTAAATATGCATACCCTTCCTTTATCCTATTTTTATAGAACTGTTTCCAAGGAATTAATATGAACAGCATTTCATTTGTTGGTGGGCAATAAACATACATACCAAGAACGTTCGGGCAAATTTGGACAAGTTCCAAGTCAATATGCAAGTCTCTGGCCCTGTCCACAAAGTTGTATTTCAGACCCGTTGAAAAAGTAGTTGCTCAGGTAACCATTGGAGGAAGTTTACCAGGGCCTGTTGTACAAATTCCGGCTTTTGACCAGTGAAGATCCTATCACTACCGTAACACAACATGGCAACACCATTTTAGTACTTTAATTATAAAAGACAGGTTGGAACTGAGGCACAGCTGGTTTATTGCCATATTGTATTGAACTAGAGTAAAAACAGAATGCGCTTCGGTGGATAATTTCCTCGCTTTCCTTGTTGCTTCACGCTGAAGATTGCCATGAAATTCTTCTTTCCAGTTCCACTGGTTTCTGCAAAAGGACCCTCACAAAAAATATTCATTGAATATGTAAAAAATACACCATGTTCACTTCAGTCGAACAGTGGTCATGGGATATCTCCTAGCATATGTCACTGGGCTGCATATATTGATGAAGATTTAAATGGTTTCATTTATATTGAAGCAGTTACTCTTTAACAATGATAAGTTACATATCCGCAATTATCGCATCTTCATTGGCTCACCGGTTCCAATGAAAGTCACAATGATCAAGGTAGTTCAAGTTTCAGGATGGTTGGTGTTGTCCGGGAGAATACATGGCATTATTTATATGACATGGTACGCCTTTGTTGTCAAATCCTATAATTGGTGGGTTTTGACAGAACTGTAGGATTTCTGGCGTCTATATTTTTAGTTTTCTTATTCTGGTTATAAGACCAAGTAAACACAACACAGTGTGTGACTGGATTAAGAGGCGGATAACATTAGAAGGATTGTCTCTGACATTCCGTCACACAAAATCACTTTAGTCCTGTGAAGCCACAAAACATTTATTGCATTTTCCGAATAATGTAGGTAAAAATAATCCACTCAAAAATAACAAGTATAAGGATTTGCATTTACATCTGACTATTACTATATACCGGTACTTAGAGCATTTGTTCAAGTTCCAGGAAAGAAAAAAAAAATTGACCAATTTGTTTCTAAAATCTCTGCAGATGCCAAGTTTTTTATTTTTATTTTATTAAAAATTGTACTTTATTTTATTTTTCTTGGAAATTGAAATTTTCTTTCTTGATAAAAATTCTGACAAAATCCTGAAGATAGAAAATGCTGTGATGTACACATTTTTACTGGATGACTGACAAATTTTTGTACTACTGTTCAGAAAAAGTAATTGAAAAAAGAGCGTCCCACATTCACCAATTAATTCTATTTTTATACACATCATTATTTCCAGTTTGTTATTCCTCATATGATGCAGCATGGATAAATTCTCATGGAGTATAATTTTTTGACTGGAAAGTCCCTTGTTAGTGATATAACCTTATAAGTATTTTGCCTCTTTGATATCACTCTGTTGTATAAACGGTATGCTCGTCACAGTGCACATGTTAGTCTGCATTATCCTCCAGTTTAGCATGTCGTGTTTGGTTCACGTAATCAGGCATGATTCATAATCAGTTTGTATTTGGTGTCGCTCCAGGCAAACAAAAACAGTTGTCAGTATTGCTGAACTACTTGTATTTGTTCCACGTGAGGGAACTTTGTGTCTGGAAGATATTTTTTTACGATTTCAGTCTCACATGCCTAGTCACATGGGAAAGTTGTCGTACTGGACCATCCATCATTATTCATTCAATTGTTTCTTTGTTTGTGTTCTTAGGAGTAAATTGTCTGTTCAATATGCATGGCACAATTTCAAGTGTGTGATTTAGTTTGTGTGGTCGTTTCTCAAACTGTTCTTCTCTCTACAACATGAAGGTGAACGAATGTATTTGATTCAGTTACAGCTTTTCAGCTGTGTTTGCGGTAACGTTTTGGTGTGTATTCTGAAAGAACTTGTCAAAGTTGTTGACTTTTTCGATTTATTGTGACTCTCTGTTCTTTGTTTACTGGCACACTAGTGCATTCAGATACTTGCTGTCGTCATGGTACCTGGCTTTGTGCGTCTTTGCGTTTTTTTTTCCAATCATGTTTAATGAAAAAACTTGGAAACACAAAGTTTTTGTTCAGCTTAATACCCCTGGGAAAGAGATTGTAAAGCTGTAAATGTGTTTTGTTCTGTTGTGCAATAAAATTACCAAATGTGTTTACTGTGCAGATTTGGCTTCACAAAATACATGTATCTAGCACGGTCTAGTATGTTCTTTAGAGATGGCATGTAAGATAAAAAGATTCTTGCAGAAAGAATGTTAGGGGCAGCAAAGCTCTCGCTAAGCCCTTTGCTAATCAACAATGGGGAATTACATTTGTACTTTACTACAATAAATGTTGTCACTTTCACCATCAACTGGAATTTGAACCATGAATTATGCTAAGGAAATGATAAAAAATTTAAAAACATGTCATCACCAGCCGAAATGTAAATCCAAAAGACGTATTGCTTAAATTTGTGTTAAATGGCTTATTTTAGGCATATTTTAATTTGCTAGATGAAAATTATTATTTGCAAAGTTGCCAAACAAGTATGAAAAAAAAAATATTTAAATTAAAATGTTTTTTTTTCACCTTTAGACATAGCATTCTCAATCTTTGACATATACTCTGTCACTTTTAACACACACCCTTTCAAAGCCTACTTATCCACTTGTTCTAACCAACAATTGTGGAAAAGAAAAAAAAAATGCCAAAACAAATCAAAACATGCCTTAGGGGAAATCACAGAAAATATGCTAATATTTGCTTTTTAACAGTTTTTTTTTTTTGGCAGGGAAAACGAAAACATCACATAAAACATGCATGGCCTTGAAAAACACAGTAGTTGGTTGACCGTACAGTGGATGTGGTTTTGATTACGCCCTCCAGCTACCTTCCCACTGTGATCACTCTGTCCTATTTGAAAACACTGTATTTGACCGCATCTTCCTGCTTTGAATAAGTATTTCGAAGTACCCGTTGTTTCCGCCCTAATTCTGAAAAGGTGTTCACTTGTGGCTGTAACAAACAAACGAAACCAGGCAGGCGTTCATTGGAAGATTGAATATCAAATACAAAATAGCAGGTGTTTCAGGTTGAAGCCATGTGCCTGCTGCTCATTCATGAGTTGTGATTGAATTCAAATTTCCAAACTTTGGAACAATTTTGTAGGATGTACGTGTATGTATATATCAGAGAAATCCGGGAAAACAATAAGAATTGTCAAGCACTAAAATATATATTGTGAATCAGGTGGTTGCATAATGTTTTCAGCTGGAGAGAATGTCATCCCCAGCTGTGATGAGCACTGTCAATGGTCATTAATACAAGGGAAAAACACAGCTGTCTAATTGCCACCAGTTATCACAAAATATACCAACTACTGTGTATTCTTATCATTATGCTTTTGTTTCAGTACTTGACATTTAATAATAATAAATCTGCATAATTATTTCATTTTTTTGTTATTATGCAAAATGATAAAATTATTAATAAACCTGCATGTGTAGTTTTGCATAGTGTTATGCCAAACATATTGCAGGGGACAATTCTGACTGTCAAAGGGTTAATATTATGGGATAGTTTCTGTCTCCAAAACCGTTCTTGATTTATCATAGACTATCATCTAAGCATTTTATTTTGTTGTTAGGATATTATTAAACTTCAAACACATGTATTGTCGAATATAATATAAATTACTGTGATAATTATCATGTTTTAATGGGGTTAGCATGCACCTACATGTCTTATTTGTTTATTTATCAAATTGTACATACAAGTTTGCATATTTGTGTTGTCAATTTCTGTGATTACATGCGATTGTCAGGCTGGCTTGATTTTTGCACTAATGTTATGATAACAGACTGATTCTAATTTATTGGAGCTGGCTCTCTCCATCAACAGAAATATTTCGTTGACATTCTAAGAGGGGAAAGGTGTTGCATAGATTCTTACGCAAGATTGTTGTTCGTTTATTAGTGTATTGTGTTTCTATTCATGCGCTTATGCTTTTATCCCACAATAAATAATATTGTGTTGTAAAAAAATGATTTATTACACTTGTCCTTTTGGAACACTTCATGCCAAACAAGTGTTTGTTACTGACGTACGTTTCTCTTTACACACAAGATGGATAGTGACTGTACTGCTTCTGTGGTACGGTACTTTAAATTAATTAAGACCGCGAGGGGTCGTTTTTTTCTCCTAACTGTCTGATGTATATTGATCTGTATCAGTCAAGTTTAAATAACTTGTACCGATTGAAGAGAATGGTGTCTATTGTTGTTTTGAGTACCTAGAAATATAAATTGGTGACATTGACACAAGTAGTTTGCTTTGTGCATGCACGTATGTATATGGCAAAAAATGTTCCATATTTCACAGCTACTGAGGGGCAGTACTGAATAGCATTTGTACAGTTGACATTATTCATTGTGTCAAAGTGCAAGCGTTCCTTTTAACCTCAGGCATCAGTGCCATTATTACAATGTAAAACCCTGTGAGAAAGTAACGTTAAAACTGCATTGCGCTTTTCATTTATTATAACCAGTTTCGCTTCTCGGTCTCAGACTTTCCTGTAATATCAAGCAGAGTGATGTCCTCGCATAGTCAAGTGTTTATCTTGATTTTGTGATTGAATTGTCGTATTACCTGGTAGTAGCAGACCTTGTACTCTTATTGCTCGTCCTACTCAAGCCCAGGTAGAGCTTAATTATCACTCTACCAATTCATACCATTTTGAAGGAATTTAAGGAAATAAATCTCCTAATCACTTGCGTTATCGTTTTCGGAAGAGCAATTTTTAACTCCCAACCAATTTTTCTGTAGTTATGCATATGTATACGTACATTTAGCGTGCATGTTAAAAACAGGTAGCATAGCAGTGCAGGTTTTGATTCATTGTTTTTAGAGCTGACATGCACCTATAGGGGAGGGGACACTACATTGTATTCTGAACTGAGGCATGGCTGTATTCTTGGACAAACCCCAACATATTGTGTCTAAATACATTTTACAAGATTACCATAAATGCATGATGGTTTGTGTATTGTATTGCATAAAGTCTGAATTAGTGATGTTTCTTTCACAGGTGTGTGATCGTATGTTCAATCCAAGGAAAAACAAACAGACTCATATATTCAACCACTCTAGGTAAGATCAACACAGGACCCCCCTACAATGGCAGTACCATGCCAAACTTTGACATTGGAGTGCTTCTTGAAAATACAACCTTTGAAATAAAAGTATCCACATGCAGTATAAATCCGTAAATATCGCTGACAGTGACTATAGTACAGAACATTACTATAACTGTGATTTGAATTGATGAATGGCCTGTACAATTACTGTACATGAAATATTTATTAGACCCTGGTAGTACCTGGAGTTTGTTTACCCCTTCAGCTTGTTGACTTCATACATGGTTCAATTTCCATTAATATACAGTTCCTGCTAAAGCAATGTATATGAACAATGTTCCATGGTCTTCAGAATCATTTGCCAAAATTCTTTGATCCAAAGAATCAAAATTAAGCCTTGCCCATCTGTCTCAACCAGGCAGATTTTAGCTGGGGCAGATAAATGTAGAAATTGCCTGTCCCTGTGGACAGGTCAATAAAGATATCAAGTTTTGCTAACTGACCAAATCGGGTAGTGCCAAGTTGCTAATGTCTAGAAAAAAATTGTTAACACTTACAAAATGATGATGAGCCAAGAACTGATAATTTATTTCAAAGATCTTAATTTTTCTTGCTAGGGACAGGGAAATCATCAATTGCAAAAGACACTTTTATTCTGCAACCTGTAAAATGGGCAGCCATCTTTAATTTTTATTTTCAACCCCTGATTGGCAACTGATAATTACAAAATTATATTAAATATTTCTTTTTTTTTTTGTAAAAGGAAAACCATCACAGCGTTGGCACTCTCACCAGATGGCAAGTACGTTGTGACGGGGGAGGTAAGTAACAGCATTTATCACTGCGTCCTGTGAAGTGCAATTTTTGTGATTATATAACATATGTGAAGACAAAAATTTTGTGAAAGTCACTGACATTTTTTGTTGTTGTTGTTAATATATAATTTCAATGTGTGTAATACTGAGCTGAAATGACCTTTGTGTTACCTAAAAAATGCATATGACGTAAAATTTTTGGATGGTCATGCTATGCATATGCAAATTTATTTTAAATTAATTCATATTTGCATTCTATTAATATAAAAATATGCCATGTTGCATTACATATTAATATGCGTTTACTCACCAGATACCATATATAGATCATTTTGGATCAGTGCTAAACTTACAAAAATATCCAAAAATACCAAAAACTCAGCTGATGTGTTTTTAATATACTGGAATATGGTATTTAATTAAATGAGATAATTAATTTGCAGGTCAGTCAAAATTACGCTTGGTGACTCACAATCAACAATTTTCGCCTCGGTCATTACTTTTACTGGGTCTACAAAATTCACATTAATATAAAACTGCTGAGGTAGACACCACATATATTCGAACACTTTTGTCCTCTGGAAATTGAGTTCCTCGACAGCTGTGCAGCTGACAAACATGATACCAATTGTTTGATTCGTATAGGAAGTAATTTAATGTGATCTGACCATTCGCTACACTGACTCTAGATGATGGTGTAGTATAAAACTGTATAATGAATAACCAATGGGGTAAGAATAATTCCCTAATATTATTACCAATCTCTCTTAGTCGTCACAAACCATGCAAAGACTGGGCGGGTATAAAAGTCCACTTTTAGATCCATTGCTGGGATTAATTAAATTTACTGAACCTTGAAATACCATTGAGTGTTTTGAAAAATGATTATATTTGTGAAGGAAGCATAAAGATCAAGATGATAAAACTGTTAAAAGTCACAATAATTTGAATGAATAGCAGCGGTTCAGCTTGAATAATGATGGATTTGTCAGGACAGGGTAACAAGGCCATTACTGATCTACACAATGTTTTTGTCTAAGCTCTGACGTGTGGTGTGTATAAGTGGTTTTCAATGTTCAATGTGCATCTCAGCTAACTTATTACTTTTTGAACTCCAAAATTTGAATGCAACAATGTGCAAATTTTTATGAATTTTTCTATAATTTCAAAGTTAATCTCAGATAATATTGATATAATTTCATATTCCCTACAGGTTTAATTTAAAAAAACAAAACAAAAATAAGTATTTGTTTCATAAAAAAATTAACAGAAGTTTACTTTTGTATTTGAAGGTTAAAGATGGTTAGTAATAGTACAACATGTAGAAAAGGGAAATGCCGACTCGGTCCTTTAAGTGATTTCAACAAATCTAGTTTTGTGATGAAAACATCTGACCTGTTGTTTACATCTTCCAACACATGTGTCACTTGCATTCTCTCATCAACAAACTAGATATGGTGCCATTAAATTCATAACATAAAAATAACAAACCCATTGTAGTAGGAAACATAATTGTGTAATGGGTTTTAAGACATCTAAAGCACTCTTTGTCGCTATGTTATCATATTTTTGTTTTCAATAGAGTGGTCACATGCCAGCCGTGCGCGTCTGGGATGTTGCCGAGAGATCTCAAGTTGGGGAATTTGCTGGTCACAAATTTGGAATATCCTGTGTTGTAAGTAACCCTTGGATTTACTATGTCTTTGCCAAAATCAATAAGTGAATGAGTCTACTCATCTTGCTTGCAATTCTCAAGAATGTTGAAGCTGCAGATAGCATACACTTTCTCTCTGTGCTACACGGTAATTGGAAATTAATTGGAATAAATTGTATGCATTAATACTTGGATATCTTCTTCTCTGTAACATGGTCTCTCCTTGTATGGTTTACTAATTTCGTGTTTTTTGTTGTTTTGTTTTTTTTAAATGTTTTTGTGCCAGGCGACAGTTTATGGACATTGAGTGTCACTGTTGTCCTGACTTTTTTTGTTTTGTAAGTGCTAGTGCTGACAATTAGTGCATTTTGCCACAGAAGTCATATTCATGTTTGAGACTACATGACAGGGCTGTGTTGCCAAATGGCAATCAAATGGCAATTTTAATGTGCTTTCCTGGCGTCAACCAGGCTTGATCGAACACAAGCACCTGTGAACCTTAACCAAGGTTCCATCAAATTCGCATTCGTTAGTGAATGAATCTCGGCCAGTGTAATCGGCCTTCCCATTGAGTCTGTGGCACACTCACCCAGGGTAGGGGTCGATCCTTTTGATGTTCAGCCTAAGGTAGGATTTGAACTTAGGTCTACCGATCATGAGTCTGATGCGACAACCACTATGCTACCAGTGACCGGTTACTAATTTTGTGTTTATATGCACGTTTTCCACTGTAATCTTAACAAAGCTTACTACATAGATAGCTTTAGAATAATGCACACACTTTTTTGGGTATAAATCTGTGCATATTAATTACTAAATATGCATAATAATCCTCTAATATTGCTGTAATCACTCAACTACTCAATCACTCTGGGATACTCCACATATAATATAGTGCATGTATATTAATTGCATAAATTAGCCAATTTAGTTGTTCATATATTTCACTAATATGAACAGATTTAAATGAAATAACTGCTCAGAATAATCTACAGACCTGATTGATTTTTGTTGAAATCTGCATATTATTTACCTAATTTGCATAATTGTCAGCTACTGACATATCAAGAAGCACTCCACTTATTTGTTTGTATGACGTTGTTTTATTATCAACTTTGATACTGTTGATCAGATTACTGTTACAGTGTGCATCTCAAAATATGGAGTCGGCCAACAGGCTAATATTATGTCTTAGATAATTTTGTATGTCAACTTTGTGCCTTGTCTCCAATACCCGCAGCACACAGGAGTTCTTTGTAAGTTTGTGCTCCCTTGTTTACCACATATTCGGCTTGAGGTTTAATTCAATTTGAATTAATTTATCGCTGTGTTAGGTGGTGCCAAGATGTACTATTGTTTTTGTAGAGCTACGCAGACATATTACATAAACATGTTTTATTGTTCTGCGTGTTGTGTGCGGTTATTGTGGTCTATTGATTTATTGTCTTGTCCCCCTCCTACGACGGCTGTCATACTACCTATAACTTTTAATTCATAGTGTGTTATTCTGCAATGTTCTTTACTTTTCTGAAGTCAGTAAAAAAAAAATAAACAGATTCAGAAGGTAGTGAACTGAGTTTGACTTATTAAACATCAAAACTTCACAGACTGGGCGGGAGACACTTAAAGTTATCACTGTGTCCTTTTAGAATAGAATCTCCTGGACAAAGTCAGCATACAAATCATTTCTCTTTCCTAGCCACAGCTGTATTGTGTTGTAAAACCCACTTTGGGGATTACCATGCTGGCTTAAGGGAGGGGTGTTTCAGTTCATGGGGAGTTCATTGGACTGCAAATCCCTGTTAATGGGAGTCAATTTTACCCCACATCTATTGTATATTCAATGCTCTATAATGAAGGGGCATTTAATTTTTTGTATTTTCTCACCGTAATAGCATACCATCATGTTACCATGTCTGTACCAATATCGGTAATTCAGAATATTCATTGAGCCAAATGATAGTAGATTATATTTTTAGTCTAGTTATTAACAAGTTGTCCATCAAAAAATGAACTTTTGCATCCCAGTTCAACAGACCAGTTCGCATATTTTATTTGCTTGAACTCTACCTCAAAAAAAAAATAATATGATCTGACCGAAATTATATATTTTTAGGGTTTCAGATCAGATCAATGGTTTTCCTGCTTACTGTACATTAATTCAATGATCAGTTTACATTTAGTTTGTTTTCTTCAGGCTTTTTCACCGAACTTGAAGCATGTTGTATCAGTGGGTTCCCAGCATGACATGGTTGTTAATGTGTGGGACTGGAAGACTGGTATTCGGGCAGCCTCCAATAAAATCTCCTGCAAGGTAAGCTTATTTATCACTAGTACATTTAGATGGTCTATACATTTCATTTACGACTACATCTCAGTTGAAACAATGTTGCTGAATATAATAATACACACCGGCAAATTGATACAGAATTATTTATTTTAAAAAAGTGAGAGACTGTGATTGATTCTATTTTTAGTTGTCTGTCCAAGTATTTCATTATCTGTATCCAATGTCATTACTTTATTTGTCGGTTTTTATAACCTTGTGCCCTAGCAGTAAAACTTCCATCTTGCAAATATCTCTCAAAAAAACTTGTACGTGAAGTTTCCACTTTGGAAGAAGTCTTCCTCTTACATGCTCAGTAGAATACATGGATGTAAACTTTATGGCCTTTATTTGAACTCCATCCACCCTGTCAGTTACATTCAAATGAAATCCTGTTATCACGCTCAGGATTTAATAGTGGTGATATTTTCTCTGCCCTGGGCTATCTGTATTTGTAATCCTCATCCAAATGCGCCTACTTTCTATATATGTTGTTTTCAGGTGACTGCCATCTGTTTTAATGAGACTGGCAACTGTTTTGTAACCGTGGGAACAAGAAATGTCCGATTCTGGTATACGTCTTCAAAAAAGGTACACAATCACTTTCTTTCTCTTGCATGCTGGGTAATAATCACCCCTTACCTGTCAAGCTTTATTTCTTGAAGGAGAGAGTCTGATGTACCAAAAAAGTACCAATGAACTGCATTGAAATATTAAAAATTTTGCAATTAATAAACTCATGTAGTGTAGTATTTTGGGCAGGTTGGAAAGTGTGCTGCCTTTGTATTTGATTGAGAGAGGTTCTTAGGTAGGTAGTTATTAAGCTGTGCGTGTGTCACACATTGGGATGTTTCTCTGTCAGGATGCATTACATCTCAGGTATGTGTATTGATTGCTGCCGTGTTCCCCTCCTGTGGAGTACCTTTTGTTAACAAAGCACACACCCCCTGCAAATAACTCTTCTTTGATTTGTTTCGATGTGAAGTGACACATTATCATTATTTGAAGGCTCTTATAAGTCATCTGAAACAAGAATATCATGTCGCTGAAACCTCCTCGTAAATCTTTTGTTAAGGGCCTCCTCATTACTTTTGCCAGTTGTTGTTGTAAATTGTTATGAAACAAGTGTTGTTACTCAGAGCAACCGATCATTGGTATCTCATGGTCAGTTTTGTCAACAAAACCAAGTAGCCAATCAGTTTCCAGCGTTTTTCTATTGTCAACGTTTTTGACATTACTGAAAATGTTGTCATGGACTTGTTGTGGTGTGTTTGTCGTTAAATCAGGAAATCATGATTGTAAACCATGCTGATTTATATAAATTGTCTCTAGAAGTATCTATAAGCAGAATTGTATGATTGGATTGCAGTCACGCATTACAGTGATTGACAGGACACAGCAAATTTTTAAAAATAGTCAATGGAATTTTATTGAGCAGTATCAAGGTAAAGCATGCAAGAAGAAACATCAACATCAATGGGACTGTGGGACAACTTTAGTTTATAGGGAAAAATGCATTATCATTTTTTTTCTCCCACAAATTCCCTCTCCCACAAATTTCCTTTCTCTAGTGCTGTATATTACAATGAACAAATTTATGTAAATAAACTGAGCAGCAATATAATTCACTGTTTTACTAACAAAGTAGCAATATTGATATCAGATAGCCATTACAGACTGTTACATTTGAACTATCAATATTTATGTTATTTGCAAAACTGTGTTCACTATATTGCAATACTCCTGGTTGAGTTGCTTACTTGTTCACTGTAAATCTGATTCACCTTTTGACATTCCTGGCATTAACCGTCTGTGTACGAATGACCTAATTTGCGACAAGTGAAGGTAAGAGATAAGGAGTCGTTCTCTGTAACAGATTTATGCCCCCCTCCCTCCCTCCCGAGTTGATGCACAACACAGGCAGGTGAAGCATTGAAACTAATCAAAAGGAGAAAATGAACAATGTTTTATTGGGTACTAAATCTATTGTGGTTGATCTCTCACAAAAGCCAATCATACTGGAAATCCCTCACCTAAGTCCATTAGTGGTGGATGCCAAGCAATATAGTGGGTTGTGTTGGTGCCACTTAATTACACGCCATTGACAATGAAATGGGTTTTCCGTGAGACTTGTACGTGAGGTTGCTATATAGCAAGTGATTGAAAACTTCATTTTATAAACTCTACTCCACTTCCGTTTCAATGAATCTCTCAACTTCAAAAAGGAAAGAGATTGTATTTTGAAGAGTATACAACTGTATGGACTCTTCTGTACACTTAGTTAATTCAAACATTCTGTGCTATGTCTTGTTCACATCTATAGTTGTTTCCATGGCAGCCGGCTTATTTTGTCTTTTATATAGAAGGGAAGGTCCCCATGGACTACTTGGCAACAAGTCCTTATTGGCAACAAGACTGAAACAAGTTCTTATCTTGAGTCTAGCATGATACATTGTGAGATTCTCACCTTTTTTCGCCAAAATAACTGAATAAAATAAAACTGAAAAAAAAACATCTGTTGACTTTTGTGCATCAGTCACCATAGAGGGCAGACTACTGTGATCCTTTTTTCCTTGGATATCATCATTTTTCTCATCAAAATTTTGTTGGTAATAATTTACCTATTTTGATGTACCAAACAACCGGTACCGATAATTTTTTTTAGCTCCGCTGTCGACTTTGTCGAGCAGAGCTTATCATTTGAGTGATTGTCCGTCATCGTCCGTGTCAATGTTTTACTTTTTCGACTTCTTCTTGGAAACTACGAGCATGGATGCTTCAATACTTAGTGTATATGTACCTTGGGTAGACCTCTCTTAGGTTTATTCATTTTGTAATGATATCTTTAATTCTCTAATTTTGGTGAATATTTTTGTCATTTTTTGTAAAAAGTGACATTTTCGACTTCTTGTTAAAAACTGCAAGTCCAATTGCTTTGATATTACATATATAGGTACTACATGTGGACTTCTCTCAGATTTGTTCATTTTGTAATGATATCTTTAATTCTCTAATTTTGGTGAATATTTTTGTCATTTTTGGTAAAAAGTGATACTGTAAAGGGGGTAATTATTCACTGGGTTTTAATTTAGCTTATTTCGCTGACTGGAAA